ACTAAACACCTAACCCTAGTCTAACCTGCTCGCCATGTGAGGGACAGTCAGGCAGGGAGGCCAGGCGGCAGGCCAGGCAGGAAGCTAGAGCGACACATGCAAAACAGCGCAGCAAGCAGGCAAACAGGCCAAGCGGCAGGGAGCATCAGAGGGGGCGCGGAGCAGGCAGGCAGGGAAGCAGTTGCGCACCCCCACAGCCATAGCAGGCCAGGCAAGCAGTGCAAACACTGGCAAGCAGGCAGGCAAGGAGGCAGGCAGGCACCGCAGGCAGGCAGGAAGGCAGCGGAGGCAGGGGACGGCAGGGAGGCTAGGGAGGCAGACAAGGTCGCAGGGAGGCAGCAGACAGGCCAAGCAAGACAGGCAAGGTGGCCAGGCAGGAACGCAGGCAGGCAAGCAGGGCAGGAAGCAGGCAGGCATGCAGGCAGGCAGGCAAGCAGGCTGGCATGCAGACAGGTATGGCAAGCAGGCAGGCAGGAAGGCAGGCAGGCAGGCAGGCAGGGCAGGCAGGCAGGCAGGCAAGCAAGAAAGCAAGCATGCAGCCCAAGCAGCCAGACAGGCAAGCTGGCACGCATGCAGGCAAGAGCAAGCAGAGCATGCCGCATGCAGGCAGTCGGCCAGGCATGCAGGCAGATTTAGACAGGCATGCAGGCAGAGCAGCAGGCAGGCATGCAGGGCAAGCGAGGCAGGTAGCAACTACCCAAACCCAGCTAACTAAATAAATATAAATAATAAAATCCAACTTTAAACCAACACTATTCATCTAACATTTCACCGTAATCCCGGGGACACTTTGGGAATCTTTAATTACTAAATTTAATTACTCTTTATCTTTATTGGAGTATCACAAAAAACTTCCTCATCACTTATCAGCCCAACTCTATCCAAACACAGAGTCCAACGTGTGCATGCAGATTGCTAGTGGTCATACTTGCAGAATTCAACGCAATACAGTTAACCGAAGCGTAAATAGCTCATATAGCCGTTTTTTACTTCTTACATATAAGTTAGCAATCACCGGATGACAGGCATCATCCGAATATCCCCGTCCCCTTCCCCAGAAGCCCAGAGTTCATGCGTGTGCCTGCCCGTTGTCTGCCAAAAATCGTTGTTTGCCCTCACCCGACCCGGGCTGAAAAGTTTGGGTAGGTAGGAGTAAGCTTAAATTTTATAGCTGAGGGGGGGTCTTTTTACAAATTCAGCATGGTTCTACTCATGTTCGGGTGCTGCTGTGCGGAGATACCATTTATTGTTGAATGTTTGGTTTGTTGGTACATATTAAGTATTGCCTACAGATTTATATAAATCAAGAGCAGATAAAGAAGGAGAAAAGCGTACTAAGGGCTAAAATGCTGAAACCATGCTGCAGTATTAGTCGGAATAATAAAACTTTTCCCATTTTATTATTGACGATCCTTTGCAGTATATTGATTAGCTGTCGTACCTTCGCTTCATCATCAAACAAACCGCCATGTGCCCTACATGCCTACGCGGTTTGAGATAATGAGCCGGCGAAAATCTGTAAATTTTCGGCGGAAAACCAGACTCGAGGATCAGTGTGAACTGCGTCCCTCTCCGAACGTGTATATAACTTACGGAAACTCGCGTGATCCGAATGACGTCTGGTAATTGGATTGCCATAGTGGATGACCCCACCTGTGCGCACCTCACGCTGGATGTATAGTAAACTTCTGTAGTATTACGTGAAGTCAGCGCCAATAATGCGCTACACAGACGGCGGACCGGAAGCAACACACTGGACAACACTTCGAGAGACAGTCGCCAGTTCACACTGATCTCAGGCTGGTTCGGCGAAAATACAGATTTTCACCGCTCATTATCTCAGCGTAGGCGGCCATCGTAGGACATGCGTTTTGTTTTATATGAAACAAAGGTAAGACTATGCTAATCAATAATCTGCAAAGGATCGTTCAGAAATAAAACGGGAAAAGTTTATTAATTCGCACTAATACTGCCAGCATGGTTTCAGATTTTTTACCCTTCGTCGCTCTCCTTCTTTATCTGCTCTTGATATAATGTACAGTGGAGTTGATACCAATTTGCCTATAAAAAAAAAAGAATGGAAAGAGCAACTTAAATCTTTGAGTCGCCCCTTTTTTGCGCGCGGTCGGTCGGGTGAGCGGCAAACAAACTATTTTTTATTATGGCCCT